AGAGTCTAAATTTTGAATATATATATATATATATATATATATATATATATTATTTTTTATTCCATATTTCCATTTAACCTATTAATTTACTCCATTAAATTGATATTTATATCCGATCAATGCTTAAATTTGGATTTGTTGGGTTTTATTTTGGTTAGTCGGTCGATTATTTGATCATATAAGGATATATATTTTTAGGGTTTCGTATAGCTATGATACTTTTTGCATATTTTAACAGAGAAATAAAATAAACTAAAAACACATTATATCGTACAATGCCAATTTAGTTTTTGGTGAAAATTATTACTACATCGATGCACATAAATATCTAAATATATAGTTTGAACATTTAATCACGATGTGGATAAAAATTTGGAAACAATTAGGAAGTTAAAAAAAATGTAATTATCTCTCTTTCTAAAAATGATTATTTTTTTCTTATGATAATAAAAGAAATGGAATTTCCATTTACACTTCTCCCCAAAAGAAAAAGTCAAAAGATTTGACCGAAGATACATGTGCATGAAAACTTTATAATTCTTATTTTATTTTTTCCACGACCCAATGCTATTGACCAAGTTATTACATATAGCGTTAGACCTGGTCTACTTATAAGCATTTTCAGACAAATCCCATATGATCTTCAAAGTCTTCTCCTTTATAAAGCCAGATCCCTGCAAGAACTCCTCCATAACCAAAACCTTCAATCTCCAATCACAAACCCACAGAAAAAAAAAAGAATTTGAAAGAAAAAGGAAGAAACTTTATTATCGTCGATCACAGATCAATCGACATGGTAAGGCACTGTTCATCGCCGAGAGAATCGAGGAGGAACAAGAACCCGTATTCGTCTCGAGGGCTCGGCGAGTTCTCTGCTCTCTTGTCGGAACTCGAGGAGAAAAGACAGAAGATTTACGGGAAACTCGATTCGGAAGACGCTCCTCTCGTGAGGTTTGTGTACAAGAGTTCGGGCGAATGCGTTCCCGTGATCATCAAGTCATCGGACGTGGAGAAAACCTCGAAAAAGACGGTTCGAGATGCCAATATCAAGGCCTCGGTTCAAGAATCCGAGTCCGAGAGCGAGTCGAGAGGGAGTTCAGACGGAGAAACCAAGCGAAAAGGGCCGGACCCGGATGAGAAAACGGATCGAAAACCGTGCGGATTGGACGTTAATCTCCGAAGGATGAGGCGATCGAGCCGGTTTTTGCCCGTGACGGTGATATTGGTTCTTGTTTTCTTGGCGTTTTTTGGACGTTCGATGGCGATAACGTGCACTTGTATCGCTTGGTACTTGGCTCCTACGATCAGTGATCATGGTCGAGACAAGATACCTGCGATGAGGAAGAAAGGTTTAGTGAGGAGACTGAGTAACGAAAGGAGAGTATCGTTCAATCCAAGAACTCAGAGCAATACTTTGAAGAAGGACAAGTTTCCATGTTTGGCCGCTAGGGTTCTAAGTAATTATGGAGACAGATGAATTCGAAGGAATAATCTGAATCTTGCTTCTGTTTTTTTTTCCTGTGCTCTAACTGTACATAGAAATATGACAATATTGGTAAATTACATCTCTTGCCATCCACTTGTGTCATTTGATGAAACGAAGTGATTGTCCGTAAACCCAGATCCCAAATTCCAGGAAAATTTCTATCACCGGGAAGAATCCGACTGTTCATATCATAACACTTCGATCCACAACCAGAATCTGGTTGTCCGAACGAGAATCCGACTCCTCCGACTGTCAAAATCCGCCGTCGAACGGTGAAATCCAGAGACCAGAGTACGAAAATGAACGATGATTCTTCCCAGAAAATATCGGAACGAAGAAGAATGATGAACTCGTGATCGTTGAACTCCAAGAAAAAGAAAAAGTACGGAGATTTGCTCCATCAGATCAGACACAGAGACCAGAGTCTCAATGTCTACGCCCGCTCGCTGGGGGAGAAGAACAAACCTGGGCTTTAATTGGAAATTAATATAATTAATTCGCGTTAAACCTCTGGGCTTTGCCCAAAGGAAAATTACAGCTGAATAGTTGGGCCTGGGGACCCAGTAACGATCATGACGTGGACTAACGCGGTGATGGGGTTATCATATTCATATTGTTTTATATTAATTATCTTAGCTTCGAATCCCCACCGCGACCGATTTGATTTGCCGGCGACACATCGCCGGATCCCTTCGCCGATTTCATCCTCCTCAGATCTAGTCCGGTGGTTGTCTCCTTTCTCCAGATCTCTCGATTCCAATCGGAGATTCGATCTCCTTTTGTTGTCCGATTACGAGGGTTGCGATTGAGGCGATCGATGAGTTGTCTCAGCTCTCGGATTCGATGAGATAGGCGGCGGCGCTGCTCTCCGATGAAGATCCAGAGGAGAGCTCTTCTTCGAGACGCCCTTCCACTTTCCTCAACGTCGTGGCCCTAGGGAATGTGGTGAGTGAGTTAGTGTCTCTCTGTTTCTTCGATGTGTTGTATTTGCGTCTTGTCTTGTTAGGTTTATGTCTGTTCTGAATGTAGTTGTTGGATGCGGTGTCATGGATCTTCTGGATCTCGATAAGGTTTTTTGGAAGTTCCCGTAGTCTAGGAGTTTGCTAGGATGCGTTGTTCATTTTTATCTTGTTTTATCGAGTTCGTTCTAGTTTTCTCTCCTATTACGTGATGGGTCGGGGTATGTGTAGGAGAAACAAGCTGGAGGAAGCTGATGTGTTTTGATTCGTGTATGATGCGACCCAAGTCGGCCATTTGAGTGAAAAGCCCTGCACATTCGGAGCTCCAACAGTTGCGCACATTCTATTGGTGCCGGAATCAGAATCTCGTCCGTGTGGTCATCGAAAAGCTACCTCTCTCTCTCCGGCTTCTTTTCTCATTTCTGACCGATCGAGATGGCAAATTCATCCTCGTGGAATCGCAGGTGTAGATTCCTGAGAAAATACGGGAAATTTCCTCACTCCCCTTTCAAAACGAAATGGCACGAAAATCTCAAACACAGAGACGCCATGGAAGAACTTAGACGAGTTCTGGTCGTGTATTCGGGGAACCCAGTTCGTCAACAGGAGTGTTCGAGCGAGAACAGTGTTTTGTCGCGCCTCATAAGCTCATTCCGCCTCCATAACTGCGACCCCACGCCTCAAGCTTACAGCTTCGTGATAAAAACCCTAGCTAAAACCTCTCAGCCAGAAAACATCGCCTCTGTACTCGATCATCTCGAAAAGTCCGAGAATTTCGAGACATCCGAATCCATTTTCGTCGATGTCATCAGGGTTTACGGAATTTCCGGTCGAGTCGAAGAGGCCATTGATGTTTTCTCCAGAATGCCCAATTTCAGATGTGTACCTTCTGCTGACTCTCTCAATGCCTTGCTCTCTGTTCTTGTTAGAAAAAGGCATGGTCTTGAAAGAGTTCATGAGGTCTTGTCGAAAGCTTCTAGTATGGGAATTAGGCTCGAAGAATCGACCTTTAGAATATTGATCGGTGCCCTTTGTAGAATTGGCGAGGTAGATTCTGCTATGGAATTGATAGAATACATGACAGAGGACGGCCATATTGTTGATCCGAGGTTGTACTCTCTGCTATTGAGTTCTCTCTGTAAGCAAAAAGATGCGTCAAGCTTTGATGTCATCACATTTCTGGAACATTTGAAAAGAACTGGGTTTTGCCCAGGTTCGAGGGACTATGCAAATATAATGAAGTTTCTGATCGATGGAGGAAGAGGAAGAGAAGGTATAGGTGTTTTTAACCAGATGAAACATGATCGAGTAGAGCCCGATATTGTTTGCTATACCATCGTGCTGAAGGGCGTGATTGCAGATGGGGATTACCCGAAGGCAGACGAGTTTTTCGATGAATTGCTTGTGCTAGGCTTGGTTCCTGACGTTTACACTTATAATGTGTACATGGACGGTTTATGTAAGCAAAATGATATCAAGGGGGCTTTAAAGGTCATGGCTTCAATGGCGGAACTGGGTTGTAAGCCTAATGTGGTCACATACAATATACTGTTAAAAGCATTGGTAAAGGCCGGGGATTTGGTCCAAGCAAAGACTCTATGGGAAGAGATGGAGATGAAAGGAGTTGATCGGAGCAAACATACGTATGGTATTATGATGGATGGGTTTAGATGAAGTTTATCAAGCGTGCGGTTTGTTGGAGGAAGCGTTGATTTGGAGGTTATGTCAGAAAGGTTTGGTGAATAAAGCTGTGGAATTTCTAGCTAGTATGGCTGATAAGGGTGTTTCTAGCCATGAACATGATCAAACCCTGATGTGGGCAAAGATTTGGATGGTTAGAACAGAACTGAACTTTGCTTTCCAGTTTCCAATTGGTTGGGAGATGTGGGCTCCATTTCATTTCCACGTTGGATTCAAAGAAGAAGAAGAGCCTATTGTTCTACATTTATTCTCGGTGGTTGTTTGTCTACATATCATTGTTTGATACCACTAACTATGAACTCACCAAACTCCACAATCCAACATATCATTTAGTTTATTAAAGATTATGTTATTTATTATCATCATCATGATTTCTAGGGCTTTTATTTATACGATCATTCGAAATAAGATTATTTAGTCAAAAATAGACATGGAAGAAAAGGGTTTCAAGAATTGGAGGAGGCTATACCACCGTAATCGATATTAATATTTTGTAAATACTCGACGAGTTGGGCATTTCATTAGGCAATAAAATAAGCTTAATGTCCATTTTAATTTAAAAAGAGATACGTGTTGGGACCGACCATAAAACCGTGCAAATATGGTTTGTTACGATTTGTCCGACAATCTCTTTAGTTTCAAAGCTTGCATTATAATTAATACCAATCAATGATTCGTTAGAAAAAATAATATGATGAGAATTTTGGAATTTTTTTTAACACATGCAAAAAAAATCCGACGGTTCGATGTCTCAGTAAACCGGCGATGGCGTCTTGAATCTGTTAACCGGGTTGGATTTCGGCAGAACAATTTGTACTATTCACCAAACTAAACCGGAATCAAATTAAATCAGCCACTAACCAAATCGAACCAAACCAAACCGGAAAAATGGAGTCGACCTCCCAAACCGGCTCCCATTTTCCACACCTCTCCCTTCATTTTTACAGTTAAAACCAAAAAGGATTACACATAGGTTCTCAAGGAATTTGTCTTTCTCAGACTCTTCGTCCATCATTTTTCCACCATTCATCGTCTCGAATCCATAGAAAGGCGGTCCGATTCTTGACAGCAATGGTGTTTTACTTTTATCTGTAGAAGAACTAGGGTTTCTTGCTGGTGAATCCTGGCATTGAACAGGAATTTCGGAGTTGAAGATCTGGAGAGGAATAATAATCAACTTTTTTTTTAAGTTCCAAATTATCCAAAAAAAAAAACATAATCAAATTCGATGCATTTCTTTTCAAAATGTATTGGGCTTTTTAAAATATTCAGAAAACAGAGTATGAGCAAAGGGTTTGAAATAGAGAATACAAAAACACTTTGGATAAAGTTTTGTAAGCAGCTAAAATGTTATTTTCAGACCAATACACAAGTAAATCTGTTCTGTTAATTATATTGAAGCAAAATCTAAATACATTAAAAAAAAAAAACAGATTAAGCACAGCTGATTCACATTAGAGAGACATTCATTACAAGATCTCAAACCCAACAAACAAGTAGTAAAAGATAAAATGGTCAATCATCAATCACTCACCTCAAGTTCAAAGCAATCTTCTTCTTCTTCTTCTTCTTGCTCTCTTTGTTCAACAACACAGAGAGTTTAGCGAAACCGAACTTCTTCCTCTTGCTCACACAACTATCGTCATTGTTACCAGTCTTACCAAGCATCTGACCAAGCGACACTTTCCGTCTCACAGCCATTTCCGACTCCTCTGCCAAAAGCGGACATTTTACTCAAATGACCTAGTTGGATCGCACGAATTTCTGCGGTACACCACCTAAAACATAAGGTATTAATTATTTTTTTAAAAGACTATATTACCCTTAATGAAACCGTGTAATTTATTCATTCGAAAACAACTTTGTTATTGCGACTTCATAATTAATTCTAAATACAGTTGCAATTGGTTCTAAACAAGGTGACAAAAAATTTATCTGTTAAATTTTAAAAATAACTACTTTTTTTTGGCACTTTCATCTCCATACCATCATAACTATTTCTTATTTTAGTTGTATATTAGTTATATGTTAGTCATAATAAAGTCGCAAAAAAAAAAGAAGATATTTTGGACTTTTTCAACCGAAAAGTGGTGTAAAAATTGAATTTTTTTTTTTTTTTATGGTGTACCGATAAAATTCGTACGACCCAACTGAGTCATTTGAGTAAAATACCCGCCAGAAGCAGCTTCCTGCTTAGGATTTGCCCTATCGACATTGTGGGTTTCAGCACCAGCATTGTGGGTTGAAACCATTTAGGGCCCATTTCCTTCGGCCTTTAACTCCAAACAGTTTGGGCTTCCTTCTTCTCGCCCTTCGTTGGGTATTTTGCTCAAATGATCCACTTGGGTCGTACCTATTTCTTCGGTACACCACCGAAAAAAACAATTTTTTTTTTCAACTTTTATACCACTTTTCGCTTGAAAAAGTCCAAAATATTCTTATTTTTTTTAATTTTTTTACGATTTTATTACGACTAATATATCACTTATATATAACTAAAATAAGAAGTAGTTATGATCGTACAGAGATGAAAGTAAAAAAAAACAACGTAGCTATTTTTAAAATTTGATAAATGAATTTTTTGTCACTTTATTTAGGATTTTAGGATATATTGTAACTGTATTTCGAATTAATTATAAAGTCGTAATAACAAAATTGTTTTCGAACGAACAAAATATACAGATTCATTAAGGGTAAATTCGTCTCTTCAAAAAAATTTAATAGGATATGTTTTCTTGCGATAATATTTTTGTTTTAGAAAATGTCATATCGGCCGTAGAAAAAAAAATCCCATTTTGAGTCTGGAAATGAAATTAAGAAAAAATATAATTTGAAATTTGAAAAAAAAATCCCCATTTCTCAGTTACTTCTTCTGACTTCCCTGTATAAAGACTCCTTCCTCGTCCATTTTCTTGTTCCTTTTAACGAAAAGCCCGAAAAGAAAAAAAGGCTCACAAATCTTAGCTTCGAATCCCCACCGCGACCGATTTGTTTTGCCGGCGACACATCGCCGGATCCCTTCGCCGATTTCATCCTCCTCAGATCTAGTCCGGTGGTTGTCTCCTTTCTCCAGATCTTTCGATTCCAATCGGAGATTCGATCTCCTTTTGTTGTCTGATTACGAGGGTTGCGATGGAGGCGATCGATGAGTTGTCTCAGCTCTCGGATTCGATGAGACAGGCGGCGGCGCTGCTCTCCGATGAAGATCCAGAGGAGAGCTCTTCTTCGAGACGCCCTTCCACTTTCCTCAACGTCGTGGCCCTAGGGAATGTGGTGAGTGAGTTGTGTCTCTCTGTTTCTTCGATGTGTTGTATTTGCGTCTTGTCTTGTTAGGTTTATGTCTGTTCTGAATGTAGATGTTGGATGCGGTGTCATGGATCTTCTGGATCTCGATAAGGTTTTTTGGAAGTTCCCGTAGTCTAGGAGTTTGCTAGGATGCGTTGTTCCTTTTTATCTTGTTTTATCGAGTTCGTTCTAGTTTTCTCTCCTATTACGTGATGGGTCGGGGTTTGTGTAGGAGAAACAAGCTGGAGGAAGCTGATGTGTTTTGATTCGTGTATGATGCATAGAAAATGCCCAAGAAACCGAATCTTGAATTTTCTGGGATATAAATCTATAGCTCTGTTTGTCAGACCGGGCTCCTACTACATTTTGATATAGATTCCTTTGATTGAGAACTCAGAATTGGTTCTGTTGAAAGATTGATCCAAAAGTTGCGTTGTGGCTTTAAATCTTTGATCGTAAGGTTTGTTAATCCAAGAGATGCGATTTTGTGTTCTCTTTCGACCTGAAAGATCTTTCTGTTCATGTTGGGATCAGGGAGCTGGGAAGTCTGCAGTGCTGAATAGTCTAATTGGGCATCCAGTTCTGGTAAGTTGTACGATGAGACTGCATGTTATGTTTTGGTCAGTCTGTACATGACAGATCATGAATTAGTAACTGCATCCGTCTCCAAAATCACCACGTGTTTGATTTTTGGAATGGAATATTTACGGAATAGTAATTGGTAGATTATTAGTTCTTACAAGAATATTCTTTGTGTCTGCTGCAAACTTATTATGGACAGCCAACGGGCGAAAATGGTGCTACACGGGCTCCAATTGTTATTGACTTGAGCAGAGACGACTCTTTGAGCAGCAAAGCTATAATCTTACAAATTGACAATAAATCCCAACAAGTCTCCGCAAGTAAGTCTCCCACAATGCAACTATATAATTTGAGAAATGCTCGTGTAGCTCTTTCTGCATGTATGATGTGAAGTATTGGTCACTCTTCTTATGCATCTGATATTTTCATTGTTTTACATTGTCATACAACAGGTGCTTTGCGGCATTCTCTACAGGACAGGCTTAGCAAAGGATCATCAGGGAGGAGTCGTGACGAAATCTACTTAAAACTACGTACAAGCACAGGTGGTCTTTTTCACTTGAACAGTCATAAATGGCAAGCCCCATCTTATCCAAACAAGCAATATCTGTTGCATCTAACATGTTTCTTTTGCCTGTTAAATTTCAGCCCCACCACTAAAATTAATTGATTTACCTGGACTGGACCAGAGAATTGTGGATGACTCCATGGTGAGTTTCTGAACTCCTTATCTTGCCCCCAACCTTTCAACCATAAAAAGTGAGATGTTCAACAGATTTCCTCATGAGGTTCTGTCAAAAGGGTAATACAGATTCTTTTTCATGGTTTTCATTATTATCGATAATTTGTTTCTTGGTTGCTTTTGCAAGATTGGTGAATATGCTCAACACAATGATGCCATTCTACTGGTTATAGTGCCTGCTAACCAGGCACCTGAAATTTCGTCATCTCGAGCACTGAGGACTGCAAAAGAGCATGATCCAGAGAGTGAGTGCACAGACACTTGCATTTTTCCTTCAAGTACACTGAATTTTTTATACTTTGTTTTTACCTTACCTCTTGGCTGTTTATAGGCACTAGGACAATAGGTATTATCAGCAAAATTGACCAAGCCGCTGAGAACTCGAAAGCTCTTGCAGCAGTTCAAGCTCTTCTTTCGAACCAGGGGCCTCCCAAAACAAATGATATTCCCTGGGTTGCTCTTATTGGCCAATCTGTCTCTATAGCGTCAGCACAGTCAGGTAGTGGTGAGACCTCCTTAGAGACTGCTTGGCGTGCTGAGAGTGAAAGTCTAAAGTCCATTTTGACTGGTACCCCACAAAGCAAACTTGGCAGAGTTGCCTTGGTGGACACCCTTGCTAGCCAGATCCGTAACAGAATGAAGCTTAGACTTCCAAATATCTTGTCTGGGTACAGCTTCTCTCCATTTTATTGCTTTTTTTTATCTCCATTTTAAGTAAACAATTGAAGGCTACGTAGGACTAATCACATCAAGTCTTTATATAAGCTTTGTAATATATTGGAAAAGATCTAATACACATTGACATTAAGCAAAAAAAGAATAATTGATGGACTTCTACATCATTTCTAATTTCAGAAACCAAGAAATATGTCTTGCAAGTTCATGATTGCTTAGCTGTTTAGTTGATGGGTTTCCTTCTCTCCCATCTAATGTGCTACTAGGTGTGATAGCTATCGTTTTCTAAATGGCATTTTTTGTATGTCATCTTGGTTTCTATGAAATCTTTTGACTTCTAATCCTGTTCTGTTACATACAGGCTCCAAGGTAAGTCTCAAGTGGTGCAAGATGAACTATTTAGGCTTGGTGAACAAATGGTTCACAGTGCCGAAGGTACAAGGGCTATAGCTTTGGAACTTTGTCGGGAGTTTGAAGACAAATTTCTTCTCCACTTGGCTGGTGGTGAGGTGAGTATTTGTCTACATAAGCTGACCAGTTAGCTACTTAACTTAAAGTTGCAAGAATAAATGCAAGATATATACACGGCTTCACCATTTAAAACATTCACAGTTAGCCCTTTCAGCTGTGATGCCACTTGTAATGGAAAAATGGTTTTGTTATTTTTCGTTTTCGACAATAAACAAATTTGGTAAAATTGCCTTAATTTGACAAGCTTGTCTCCGCTCTAGGGATCTGATATTGGAGTTTATGCAGTGGTTATGGCCAACAGTTTCTGAAGTGCATGTCTTGTAATTGTGCCTTTCTAGTTCATGTGCTGAAGCCCTTTTTTGGATCTGGGTGAATCTATTTCCCTAACAGCATTTTGTTTCAGGGAAGTGGTTGGAAAGTCGTTGCAAGTTTTGAAGGCACTTTCCCCAACCGTATCAAGCAGCTCCCATTGGACAGACATTTTGACCTAAATAATGTCAAAAGGGTTGGTTTCAACTTGATTTCTTAAATTTATGCCTAAGTTACTTTTTGAGTCTGATTTTGACTAAGAGATCTTCAAATGCTTCAGATCGTGTTAGAAGCAGATGGTTATCAACCCTATCTGATTTCTCCAGAGAAAGGGTTGAGATCCTTAATAAAGGGTGTCCTTGAGTTGGCCAAAGATCCGGCACGTCTATGTGTTGATGAGGTGTGTCTATGTTTCTGTTTATGGCTTATGATGCATGGAGAATCAGTTTTGAAATTCAGGGATATACTACATAGTCAATCACATTGGTCTTGGCTTGCCTCACTTTTCTCTACAACAGTTCAACTGTCGATTTGTGTTCTATCTCTTCTGAATTAGATTTTGTTCACTCTATCTGAGGTTTTCGCTGCTTCTAATACTCTGCTTGCTTTATCAAAGTCTTATTCAACTTTAGTATATATACAGTGGCATTTTTATATCTTTTGTAAAGCTTCTTTTTCCTTTTATTTATCATTGGACTAATATGTTGTGTTTTATTAGGTTCATCGAGTACTTGTTGACATTGTTTCTGCTTCTGCAAATGGTACTCCTGGTCTTGGGAGATATCCTCCTTTTAAGAGAGAGGTAATGATGCTAGTTCACTGCGTTACTTATTAGCTCTTTTAGTGCCCATTGTAGCTGTTCAATACTTAACTAATTGGCAACCAGGTCGTAGCTATAGCAAGTGCTGCACTTGATGCGTTCAAAAATGAAGCAAAGAAGATGGTTGTCGCGCTAGTTGATATGGAGCGTGCTTTTGTACCACCCCAACACTTTATCCGTCTGGTGCAAAGGAGGTATAAAATTGTTTTCCATAATATGCGTGTGTTATGCTGTTTTTATGTCTCTGTCATATTCAAACTTATTTTCATTTATCTTATTTTCTCGGTGTGAATGCATGGAAATCTGAAACACATCAAATGAGTTTTGTTGCTGTGAGTTGATATGTGGATTGTGAAAATTTAAAAATCAGGATTCAGTATGCAATTTGATACATGAAAAGCTTGAACCTTTGTGGAGTATATGCAGAATGCAATTTTGGCATAGTTGTTCTCCCAAAACAATTATAATGGTCTTCGCTCCTTTTTATTCTGTTTCCTCTGCACAAAGTCAGTACATAATACATACAATCTGTTCTTTTACTGGCTTAACTGTATCCTGAGGTGTTTTGGCCGGTTTTGTGGGCTTCTTTCATAATTCTATGACTGCATATTTTTCATACAAGTCCAAGTCCGTCTGATGGTTTTCATTGCATGGCTGAACATTTATTATTTTTCTTTAATGGTAGAAGTTTGCATGATGTTCATTGTTTTCTTCAGTTGATCATGTCTTGAGTGTCATTTCTCTTTTGCCATGTTCCATATTTTCTTCATCAGAATGGAAAGGCAGCGTCGTGAGGAAGAGCTGAAAGGAAGATCCTCTAAGAAGGCCCAAGATGCTGAACAGTCTCTTTTAAGCAGGGTTTGTCTTCTTTCATAGAATCACCATGGACCCACTTAAAAGTGTAATACTACCTTGGCAACATAATTTGATGTAGCAATTATTGTTTCTTCATGCATATCAGGCGACCAGTCCTCTACCGGACGGTCAACCTGCTGGTGGGAGCTTGAAATCGATGAAAGACAAATCTGGTCAACAAGATAAAGATACTCAAGAGGTCTCCGGTCTGAAGACTGCTGGGCCCGAGGGAGAGATAACAGCAGGTCCTTATCCTTATAAATCTCTCTATTCTATGTCTTGTCAATTGAGTTTCTTCTGTTCCTACTCCTTTTTCCTTGTAGTTTTATGCTTCCATTGCTGCAAAACTTGCTGTCAATCCAGTTCTTTCGTTTCTGTTTTTATAATAGTTGCTTATGACTTGTGATGAAGTAGTGTGGGCGTGCTTTTCTCGTTTCATTTCGTTTTCAGTTTTAATAGTTTCTTTTTTTTTTGGTGCAGGATACTTGTTGAAGAAAAGCGCAAAAACAAACGGATGGAGTAGGCGATGGTTTGTCTTAAATGAGAAAACTGGAAAGGTTAGTATACAGCACAACTGTTATCCGTCAAACCAAATATTTAAAGAAGAGAGGCCTCTTTGCACTTTACTTTTTACTGCGTCGCTGTTCGTATAAGTTTAAAAAATGTTGCTTTTTTCTGGGAGATGTTTTTGTAATTACTCTTTTAATTGGCTTTCTAATATTATTAACCTATCTCCAGCTTGGGTATACCAAAAAGCAAGAAGAAAGAAATTTCCGTGGAACTATAACATTGGAGGTAATGTTTTCTTATTTTATTTTCTTTGATCATCGGATCATGTCAAAGATGGTACTGAAATTAATTTAGAGTAACAATCACGTGTTATATGTTCATATCTTTTCTTTCCTCTCTTCCTGGTAGCTCTGACAGAAATGGTTGTTTATGTATTGTGAGGCCTAGTATACAGTATACTACACACTGCTACTGTCAATGAGGAAATTTGACTAGCTTCAGAAGTTAATTTTTTGTCTTTTATAGTTTCTTAATTTAATTTCTCGTTGTCATAAACTTTGTCAATAAACTCAGGAATGCACTATCGAAGAAATTCCAGACGATGAAGGGGAAAAGGCAAAGAGCTCGAAGGACAAGAAGGCAAATGGACCAGATTCAAAAGGACCAGGCCTTGTATTTAAGATAACCAGTAGGGTTCCATATAAGACCGTACTAAAAGGTACTTGTATGCATTAGTTATCAAAGTTGAACCTCTTTGGTGTGTCTGCTTTACTCTCTCATATAAGCATTTTCCTTGTAATGTTCTCTTGTAGCTCACAATGCCATTGTGCTTAAGGCCGAAAGTGTGGTTGATAAGACCGAGTGGCTGAAAAAGTTGCATAACGTTATTCAGGCCCGAGGAGGGCAAGTGGGTGGCCTTTCTATGCGACAAAGTCTTTCAGATGGTTCACTTGTAAGTCGCTCATGGCATACTTATCTGCTTATTATTCTTTCGGATCAGTAGCAAATTTCATGATGAACCTCCAAATTTGGTTAAAAAGGTTGTTCCTTTATGCTATTTCTGCAACCTAAACAGCTGAAAAGGAATTCATTTATGAGAAATTCTAGACTCTAGATAGAGTTAATGAACGTTATTGCACGGTTTAGAAGCCATGTCTTTGTGGGTTGGAAATGTTAAAGTCATTTACCTATTTTTTGACATCTGGTATGATTTCTCAGGATAAGATGGCAAGGAAACCCATTGATCCGGAAGAGGAACTCCGTTGGATGTCCCAAGAAGTGCGGGGCTATGTCGAAGCTGTTCTTAACAGTCTGGCCGCCAATGTTCCAAAGGTGGACTATTTTTCTTCTAAAACTTAATATCGCCTGTTTCCGTCTCGTTTTTTTGTGAATATATATCTCGTCTCGGAGTAACCAAGAATGTGGGTTTCAACAGGCTATTGTTCTTTGTCAAGTGGAGAAAGCAAAGGAAGACATGCTCAACCAGTTATATAGTTCTATAAGGTTCGTAACCATTCCCTCGACGTAAAAAACACCGCGGAGTGTCATCAAAGCTTTGGTGCTGATACAGCTCTGGGTTTTTTTTTAATTGTTATAGCGCCTTGAGCAATGAAAGGATTGAATCACTGATCCAAGAGGATCAGAACGTTAAACGAAGAAGGGAGCGTTACCAGAAGCAATCATCCCTTCTTTCAAAGCTCACGAGGCAGCTTAGCATTCACGATAACCGAGCAGCAGCTGCTTCAACTTGGTCCGAAAATGGCAGTACTGGTAAATTTCTTCTGTCCCTTTTTCCCCATTTTTGCTTCTCATAAGGTCAATCACTGGCCACATAAGGGTGGGCATTTTGGTGTATGTTCGGGTTCGGTTATTTCGATTTAGAAAATCTATATCCATTCGGGTTATGTTGTATTAGATTCGGTTCGGGTTCGATTTTTGATGTTTATTTTCTAAAGAAATATACGGGTTTTTTCCGGTTATTTTTATATCTGGTTTGGATTTGGTTTTTCGGTTATAAAAATATCATAACCATCCGATTTTTATATCAGATTCAGTTCGGTTATGTGTTATTCGGTTCGGTGTATGAATAACCGAACTGAATGAATGCTCATCCCTACCAGTACCAGGCTTGATATTTCTCCTTTTCCGGTCCCGTGCGCAGAAAGCAGCCCGAGAACGAGCGGAGGTTCTTCAGGAGATGACTGGAGGAACGCATTTAACGCAGCGGCTAACGGACCGGACTCGTTGTCAAGGTATGGTTCGGGTGGGCATAGTCGCAGGTACAGCGACCCGGCTCAGAACGGTGAGACCTCACCGGGGTCTGGGTCGAACCGCCGGTCCACCCCGACTCGGCTGCCTCCTGCGCCACCGCAGTCAGCTTCGTCTTACAGGTATTAGTAAAAAAAAAATTCCAATTTCAATTGGGACCATTTGCCAAGTCATAAATCGCAACTATTATTATTATTATTTTTTGTTGTTGCTGTGACGGTCCCATTTTGCTGGGGGGAATCGCGTTTACCATTTCATTTTGAAGGAGAGAGATGATGTAGTAAGGTGTGGTTTTGTAGATATAAAATTTTACATACACGTGTTTGTTTGCGGTGATGTTTGAACCCAATCCCAATCCCAATTCTTTGTTGCGTCTTATGTGCTGTCGCCTATCTATTGCACTTTAAATTTTGGGAAATTGGAATGGTCCACGTCATCTCATGTCGTAAAATGATAATACAGAATAACTTGCGTAGATTAACAGATGCATTTGTTTTTCTTAACCGAAAACATCACTAATGTTTGCAGCTGCAATTGTTTTTGCCATTCATTCACCTTAAAGAAAAAAAAAAAGGAAGAGGCCACGTTTCATGTTTTCATAGTCATGATGTAGTTGTAAGCTTCTTGGGAAAGATAAAATAAAACCTTTTGCATTAATCCACAACACAGTTGTGTCCAAAACTTACAAGTGAAAGAGCACCACTCCATCCATTACTTACTCTCACAGGAACAGATCAAAGTTGAGAAGAAAGAAAACACTTAGAGAGACTTAAACCCAACAACCCCTTTTGTTTCTCTCAGTCATCACCGCTGCTTCATTGGCATTTGCTGTACACAAAACAAGAACCCCTCTCTCTCTCTCCCTCTTATTTCCTTCACTCTGCTACTTACTTACCCTTTTCCTAAGACCTCAAAGTGGAAACTGCAGTTGGAGCATAACAGTAAGCATCTACGATCCAACTACCGATGACGACCTGTCCTCCATGTTCCCTGTCTCCTCCTCCCCACATGCTTTTGACGGCAGCACTGCTTCCCCCCTTTCAGCAAACTTTATCTTTGCTGATAGTTTCTTCACTTCCTCCGTTGTATAGATGAATATCTTTCTCACCATTCCGCAGAATTCACTGCACCACATCGGAGGGTCATGATTCTTTTTTTTTTAAAAAAAAAACTCTCTGACAAAGATTGTTTTATATATGGATTAAGGAATGCACTTACTGCCATGGATCATCACCGACCATCATCATGTCATCCTCATCATCAGTGTATACAACCTGCCACCTTTTCGTGGACTCTAAGAGTTCACCTTCAATGTCAAACATCTCTTCCAGCTTCTTGAACAGATCTTTGTAACACTCCAATCTCGTCAAATCAACCGCTCTCCCTACTGCACTGCCTTGCATGTGCACCTGCTCGAATAAGGCAAAAACCCTAGCCTTAGCCCCAATCAACAAGGGGAAAAGGGAGAAAACTCGTAGAGCAAACAGTTCAAAAACACAGTAAAGTAGGAGATGATAATCACCTTCGTGCAGCTACGTATCTGCCTGCTTTGCAGCTCCTGAGGAGATCTCTGTGAGGATTTCTCATGATCACTTCCCGAAGAAGGAAGATCGGATCGGTTGACATCCAATGGCTGGTCAGAGTCAAACTCATTAGACAGGACAGGTTGATCGACCAGAGCTGCTCCTGACACAGACGCCGTGGAGAAACACTCTTCCGCATTACCATTCTCGAATAACTCTATTCCAAAAAGCCGGCAGACATTTCCAGTAGCCTGTTTCTTTTTCACGGTGGATTCTTTGTTAAAGGCTGAAGCTTCAGATTCAACTGCACTATCTACCCGGTTGGGCCAAAAGGCTGAGCCACTTGATACCACACCATGTGATATGTTGCCACCAAAGACAAAAGGAGAAGTCTTGGAAGGAGGAGAAAAAAACGGCCTCGAAGATTGAGTTTCTGCAGAGGATTTCCACATGCCTGCAAATAAAACAAACAAGGTGGAGAAATAGTTAGAACCGAAGCAAGTAGAAGAACACCCGGAGCAGATGGACCAGAGGTTGGTGAAGGCAAACCAGGAGGAGGTCTTGACCGTTTGTTCCTTTGTGGTGGCTGAGAATTCGTGGAAGGATTCGTATTTACCGCAACTAAGGGCTCAATTTCCCAAGCCGAAACTCTTTCCGGCCTCAATACACATGCAGTTTCGTCCCATTGAACCTGAAGCATTTTGACGTATCATCATCAAAATGATATTTACTCAAGAGCATGATTTCTGGTTTAAAAGGATAACATTTCATAATTTCTATGCTGCTGCTACTTTGGTGCTGTCTTCAAACTCCAAACAGTAAAACTATAGTAAACACACGCTAACCTTTAGCGATCTCCATTCTGAATCAGACCATACGGTGGATTTATTTTCCTTCACACCAACAATTGTGCCACTGAACCTGAGATGTTAGGACAAAAAAATTAGGTGATGATGATGATGATGATGATATCATCACAGGGCTTCTCGCTTCATCTTAGTATCGATTTGCTTACAGATGGAATGGAATACCTTCTTTCAGGAGCTTCCTCGCCCTCAAATCTCATCTTGAAACGCATCCCCACAGACAACTTGTGGTTCTTAGCTTCAAGATACCTATTGACACTCACAATGAACTCTGACCTACTTGTCCTGATATAATATAGAAGCCATGTCAACACTATGTCGGTCAATACATGCATAGTTTGAAAAGACTTTACTGGCTTGGCTTAAAAATATTGCAAAGGAATTCATTTTTCAGAAATGAAAAGATTCAAGACCTTGGCTTGTAGAAGACAGAGAAGATAGTTCCGGTGGTCATGGCATGAGAAGCAGTAGCAAGCACCCCAAGATGCATGCTATGACTTGAGATAACAGAGGATGGCATATTGGTCAGTTGTCTCATGTGCCTCCTAACACCGACCCGGAGCTCCCCATTCTCACCCCTTTAAAAAAATTCATATAAAAACTTCGAAAAGAGATAACTTTACAAACCATCGAGACAAAAATCAAGTGATGAGGAAAGTACTTTACCTTAAGAATATGAAAGCATCACCAGCCACTAGTTTTTTTGAGCTCACAAATACACTCCACCCAGTAGTAAGTAAATGCCGCCTCGGTTGGCCTAAACAGTCAACCGCCTCACTAAATTCAACGACAATAAGTGAATAATCAAATCTTATTCATAAGCAATTTAACTGTAAGTACCGCGGAAAATGTGCCTAAAATGCCATTCATTTCCATGCAAATCAGTTGCAACCAGTTCCTGCCATGGTGGTTGTTGGGACATATCCTAGAAAAGAGAAGGCAAATGATTAAAAAGAAAACCAGACACTAGAGAGTGGAATCCATGAAGCAAAAAAGAGTTAGAGTCTAACCAATGGAGGAAGACAATCATCAGCATGCCTTCGTAAAACAGAGAATCCACCATGTGTGCTTGTATCTGAAGCAGTCAGTGTCTTGCAAAATGAATGTACTGTGTACTTTTCTGGTTCCGGGACTGCGGCATCTAGGCTTGTAACTTCACTTTGCTGATAATCCAAAATCCAAAAGAATAAGTCCAACCATTCATGTCATAGTCATGGGGCAACCATCCATCGAAACAGTCAGTATCGTAAAATGAAAAGACAACTCACATCTTCTTCTGGGAACAAGGTTATTTGAGCATAAACTTCATCAGTTTCAGGTTCAGCCTGAACTCAGGAGAGCGAAGCATGATGAAAATGAAATTTGTTAAGCAAATCGCGTTTAATGAAGTGAAAGTAAGAACACTATACCATACACTACATAAATTAACCTACCCTAAGCTGAACATTGATGACTTTACAGAGAATCTTAGACGGAAGATTGAACGAAGGCATTTGCTGCTCCAAGCCCTGGTGCATCGATGCCTCGAGCTGCATATGAGTCGATCCGTAAAAAATTAACATAAATGCACTAATGATATAAGATGAAATACAAGACAGTTGTCCCTTCCATATCACAGATTTTGTATTAAAATCCAAATTTATGTGAGAATGTATTAACAAGGTAATGAGTATGATGAGGTGAACAAGGACACTCCAATTAAGATTTATCGAATCTTAGCAAAGAGGCTTGATGCCAAACATCACAACAGTTCGAGATTCAAACTCATTAACATAATAATACCTGCTCCATATGACCTTCTGGGAAGTAGTAAACACGCTCGCCTTCACAAGGTAAGGTTACAAGAGGTCCAGCACAGGCATTCCATAACTCCCTATATAAAGCATCATTTGATTTCCCTA